GACAGCACCGACGGGGAACCTGGACTGCGAGGAGTTCGACAGGGGCCTACTGGAACTCCGTAACACCCCTACCCCTGCCGGACGCTCTCCTGCCCAGGTGTTGTATGGCCGCCCCCTTCGTACTTGTGTGCCTGCCCACCCCCAGTCCTTCTTAGATGAATGGCAGATCAAGGCGGACGAGTGTGACCGCCGTGAGGCTGCCCGGATGGCCCAAGTGACAAGCCACTATGACGCCCAAGCCCGCCCCCTTCCCAGGTTGGCCGTCGGCCAGCAAGTACGAATCCAGGACCCGACGTCACACCGCTGGGACAAGGTCGGGGTCGTCATGGGCCGTGGCGAGTCTCGTTCGTACCAAGTCCGCCTCCCCAGTGGTCGTGTGTGGTGGCGAAACAGACGCCACCTCCGCCCAGTGCCATCCTCTAGTGACGGACCTTCCTCCCCGTCCCCTGTGTCCCCTTGCCCAGACCAGGAACGAAGGTCGTCAGTTGATCCTCCCATTGTCCCTCGCCGCTCCCCCCGACTCATGGAAAAAGAGTCCGTAGCCGCTCGAGATTGCACTACGAGCGTAAAGGGGGAGGGAGGTGTATAGATATGTACATACCAAGATATGTGAACACGCCTGACACCAGGACTCTTGTTACCATTCATTGTACCATTTATTCACATGTCTGTATTACTACATATTATTATAGCATGTCTGAGGTCTATGCTTATGTCTAATGCCTATGTTCATTTACTATGTCCCGATGTACTATGTCTGTACCGCGCTAGTCGAGTAATTAGAAGACCTCATTTATTGTCCTAGGAATGTCTAGCAACTCCCCTTGCCTGGCTAGCTAATTTCCCTCAGATCGGCCTCGGCCTACCTACGGTCCGGGGTCCCTAGTAATCGTTCCTGTATCGGTTGGCTATCACGCCCAGTCTTGTACACTTATTGAATATATCTACTGCTCGTGCCCTGGAGTTTCAAGAACCTTGTCTAGGATTACATCCACCACACCACACCACCCACCACAGCCGGCCCAAGTCAGTGATAGTGATAATTATAGTGAGGATATGGACTTATATGGACTTTGAGGGGTTTGACAAAGAGGCCCTGCAAGCCTCTGTGGTGGATAGTGATACAATTGATACAAGTGATACAGGTGAGGGCCAATAATCTGCCCTCTGCCTCGGAACCAACCCCCCATCCCCGTGTGCCCAGCCATCTTTTCTACTAATGTAAGTGTTAAAAACCTAATATTATTGATATTTCTCTTAATTATTAATTGTGTGTGCATACCATCATAAAATTAAGAAGTTATTTTTACTACAACATAGGTATTGTGTCTGAAAAAGTGGAGTTTGGGGGTCGGCCCGGTCTCTATTTCAATTAATCCCATATGTTATGTTGTTCACTTTACGCGTTTCTCACTTTCCGCGGTACCCTGTGGGTTGAATTAACTGCGTAAAGTGAGGTGTTCACTGTATAAGGTGCACTCATAAACATCATTTAAAGATTATAGTTTGTATTTTTCATTATTTTTATTGTTTTGGGAGAATAGAGGGTAAAAGCCACACAAAAGAAAAGATATGAAAAGGTCACACTAGGGAACACATCTCATTATTATTGCCTGATTTTAATAGTAATTAATGATTCACGATACGATGATTGGCCTTACACTGAAATATTGGAGGACACATTACCATCGTTATTCGAGGCTTTACTGTATATGATACGGGCGTGAATAAAGCTGTGTTACTTTTATCCTCTTCGCCACTGATCGGCTCGTTAGCTGCTTGGGCAATCGGTCACGTCTGTGTTACGCACGGTTGCCAAGTGTTCTTGTGTACCGTATATATTGTACTCCAGCAGATCTTGTCAGCTTTAGCCTAGAATAGGCAGACACTTCACTCAAATGACTGTGACAGTAATACATAACTAATTATGTCTTAGCACTTGTGATGAAGGTTGGGTGGGAGATTATTGGGTCATGTTACTAACCTGACCTGATGCAATGTCAGGTCACCCATTGTTGGGTGGGGCATTAGAGGTCTTATGACCTGAAGATGTTTTTAATGACATTTTTTATCTGCTAGGTACAGGAGATCTCATATTTCGAGCGATTTCATTTCGCGTTTTTGAATTTCGCGAGCACTACCTAATGTAACCAAGTCCTATATTTGACGTAAAATATCGTGAGTTTCGCGAGATCCAGCCAGCTAAACGTGAGATCCAGCAGGCTGAATGCTGGCCACCGTCTTGAATGACGTCACAGCCCTCATACCAATTACAGCTATTTCTGCTACAACGCGAATTGGTTGTAACGCGATTGATGAATTGGGGAACGCTGTTTGTAAAATGCAAACTTTTGCATACACATGTTGGCTATAGCGCGATTCCATCCTCAACGTTTAAAGCATGGCGCGGGGTTATGCAATGTTTACAGTTCACGCTCGACAACACATGTTCAATTGATTCGTGTCTTTTGTTTGTGAAGTGTGTTTTGAGAGGTACTCTGTAAATTTTGTTCTTTTTTTGGGGGGCAAATTTAGCTGTTACCCATAAATACTGTATGAAAAGAATAAGTAAAAAGAATGTTTTGCAGTGCGAACGAATAACAGTTAACACCAGTGCTCTCTGTTTACATCACGTGATCAGAGGAATCGCGCGATTTTTGTAGTTCTTCGTGATTTTTGCTGTTTTCTCCAATTTTGTTGTGTTAGCAATGGATATAGAAAGACAAGGTAAGAAGAATGTTTCCAAGAAGCGTTCTGGTGATCGAATTGCCGGTGGTGAACGTAAAAGAGGTTTACAAGAACGCAACCATTGAGTTGTAGACTGTGCCATCCTAGTGACCTCCCGGGCTGCTATTGCGTGCTCTTTTGGGTGGTGCTACCATCTGTCGAGTCAAGATAATGGCCTCTACCTCTACTGGGGGTCCAACTGGTGCTGGTGGGACAGACCCACCTAAGCGGCCAAATAAGGAAAAGGAGAAGAGGAACTATCATAAGGGAGTTAAGTTTGCCAAGTACTCGATGCAGGATAAGCAGCGTGTGATTAAGGCAGAATTTGTATCATTTGGAGGTTATAAATGGGAAAATCAGAGGTTGATGTAGAGTGGCCAGTCTATATTGTTATTTTTCCCATTAGTTTATGTATTTGTATTTGGCTAATTTGAATTTGGTGCAATTTATCCAGTCTATATTACTCGCGAAATACAAGATCTTACTGTATATACATAGTACTATACTGTACAATCATACACCGGTTAACGTCCAACCAAATCATATCGCCTCGCCTCCCACTCCCCTCCCCCCCACGCTCCCTCACGTGGGGGGTTTTAGGCCTTAAGTTTTTCATATAATATCTCAGACTATAGGAGAGTATAATTTGCATTGCTGAAATCCTTACAAGACAGCGATTAATTTGAATATAAACGTCATATATTTTGCTGAAGAGATAAAAATTGTAGTACATTAGTGTACAGTACAGTAGTACATTTTATAAAATAAAGTTTTCAACTGTATTTTTGGGTAGATTTACATAAATTTCTTCATTTATTTTCAGCCATTTACATGCACACACCATACTAAAAGAAACGTGAGAGAAATAAATGACCTTAGTGCAAAGCTGGACTGCACATGTACTAACTTGATTACGGTACTAAAATTTTTATATCTAGTGCAAATTATAGGTTGTTTATATTTAAATTAATCACCATCTTACAAGAATCCCAGCAATGTAAATTATATTCACCCAGGTCATTTCACTGGCTTTTTATAAGAGAGAAGCTTAGTCACTTAAGACTTGATAAATAAACACGCGTTAGACCTCGGGCCGGTGCCAACTGTCAAATGTACTACCTCACCTCCCGCTCCCTTCCCCACTCGCTCTCGCTCACTCCCTTGCCCCAATCTGCCCAGCGTTGCTGGAATCCTTGTAAGACAGTGAATAATTTGAATATAAACGTCATGTATTTTGCACGAGATAAAAATTAATCACCTGTATCACATTACAGTAGTGATTTAAGAGTAAGAGTGTATATGTATGTATATAGTATTCCACATACACGGAAGTATAAAGACAAACTTTATGTGATGATCGGACAACGTCCATTTCGGTTAACGTCACGTTTCCAAGAACGTATCTAGGACGTTAACCGGTGCATGACTGTATTGTACATGAAGGGTACAGGTATTAATAAGCACAAATCATTACAGTCACGAATCTTTACTAATTAATGAAAAACAAATAAACAATATTGTATCATGAATGAGTCAGAACAGTAGACAAACAGAGTCTCTCTCTCTCTCTCTCTCTCTCTCTCTCGCTCATATGGGAATTTAGGCAACAAGCATCCAGTGAGGGACTTACTGTGTGAATGCCTGGTGGCAAGATAAACATCTGCTATTGACGAGCGCTTGTCATCACTGGTGCACGTTAACACTCCTTTCCACTCCATCTCTCTAATTACCCCCACCTTTCTGCTATCTCACTTCATATTCTAAAATGCTATGTAACAAAATGTTCAAGGGATAAAACTTTGCTCATATATATTTATCACAATGTTCCTAAAATTACTTTAGCTTTCGTATTAATTCTAGACATCTTCAGGTCATGAGACCTTCTAATCTCCCACTCAAGAAAGGGTGACCTGACATTCCATCAGACGGTCAATAATAGGAGACCACTAATCCCTCACCATACCTACACCTGACATTTCGACAGGCCAGGTCAGTTACATGAGACATACTAATCCCCCACAACTCCATGGGAGTGGAAAATACCAGTCTTTGCTGTAACACACAGCTTCATTCACACCCGTGTCATATAGATTTTTAGTTTTCAAATATATTTATTTAAACAATCTATTAGATAAACTATTCTGGAAATTTTTTTAGGAATTTTTCAATAAAATTTCAATTCCGGCTATTGGAGAATTCCGGGTTTGAGGGATTCCAGCTAACGCACGCACACACAAAGGGGGTGTACTGTACTGTATTTATAAGTTAAAAACCTTTATTTTGTGAAGAAATCATGGGATGAGCACTGATGATAGGAAGAGAAAATGGAGGCAGATGAAGCTCCCGGTGCTGGTGGTTGGTACTGGTCTCTACCGTCCGTCTCGGTCCCATGGCCATGTAACTCTCCTCACAACCATCTGTATATATTAACTGTGTTAACACCATAACACCACGTTTACATGACATAACTGGATATATATATATATATATATATATATATATATATATATATATATATATATATATATATATATATATATATATATATATATATATATATATATATATATATATATATATATATATATATTTCATTAGCCCAATAAACACGCGGACTTCTACATATAATAAACACCTCAACCCGCCAGGGCTCGTATTGATAAAATCACACAGGGAAAAGGGAAACAATGGAGCACCTTAGCTTTCGTCTTTATTCAAGACATCTTCAGAGGCAACTGAATTACATGGACGGAGAGAGGCATAAATACACAGGGTGACCTTATTAAACATGAGGTCAGGTCATAATCATGACATCCACTAATCCGTACACCAACACCAATACATGCGCAGAGGAGCTTAAGAGAACGGGCGACGTGACTAGTCAAGTTAAGTCAGGTCAAAAATATGGGACCCACTTATCATCTATCCTACATCTAACTCCAAGGTTTTCAAAGCATTTTTAACCTTGGGCCACTGACAAATAAATTTATGTAACATATTATCAGTTTTGTAATGACCATCACTAAGGTTTATGGAATTTAATTCCCTTTTCCCTGTATGATTATATATTTATATGCTGATAACCACAAGGAAAAAAGAAAACACGAAGTTCCCAAGCGCTTGGGAACTTCGCATTTTCTTTTTTCCTTGTGGTTATCAGCATATACCTGGATCACGCGCACCTACAGTGATTTACTTGTGTGTGTGTGTGTGTATATATACATATATACAGTCATGCGCCGGTTAACGTCCTAGATACGTTCTTCGAAACGTGACATTAACTGAAATGGACGTTGTCCGAACATCACATAAGCTTTTTATTTATACTTATGTGTATGTGGAAGACTATATACATACATATACACTTTTACTCTTAAATCACTACTGTAATGTGATACAGGTGATTAATTTTTATCTCGTGCAAAATACATGACGTTTATATTAAAATTATTCACTGTTTTACAAGGATTCCAGCAATGCCGAACAGATGGGGGAGAGGATGGGAGCAAGCGAGGGGGCGTGGGGGGAGGGGAGGTAGTACGTTTGACAGTTGGCACAGGCCCAGGTCTAACGTGTGTATATTTATCAGTTCTTAGGTGACTAAGCTTCTCTCTTATAAAAAGCCAGTGAAATGACCTGGGTGAATATAATTAACATAGCTGGGTTTCGTGTAACATACTGATTAATTTGAATATAAACATGCTATAATTTGCACTAGACAAAACAATTTTAGTACCGTAATCAAATTAATACATGTGCACTCCAGCTTTGCACTAAGAAATCTATGTAAATCTGCCCAAAAATACAGTTGAAAAACTTTTTTATAAAATGTACTACAGTATTGTACACTAATGTATTCCATTTTTTATATCTTGAGCAAAATATATGATGCTTATATTCAAATTAATCTCTGTCTTGCAAGGATTTCAGCAATGTAAATTATATTATCCTAACTTTAGTCAGTTATTATATAAAATAAACAAAGAAATCACCAATCTTTTGTCTGGGAGGGAGGGGGCGGGAGGTGACAGAATGTCTGGCGTTTGTTTGTTTATTTATTTGAGATAAGATTTGACAGTTGGCGCTGAAGGCCTGCCTGCGTGTTTATTTATCATTACTTAAGAGTGACTAAGCTCTTCTCATAATTTTCCACCCAAACGACCTGGGTGAATATAACTTACATTGGAGGGATTCTTGTAAGATAGTAATTTATTTGAATGTTTTCTTTTTTTTTCAATTTAAATTTTAATTGTTTATTCCTTGATAGAGAAAGCGGGATCCTAGTGCTGTCACTTGGTACCCCTGTACCATAACACCAGAAGCAACTGGCCAGTGTCACAAGTATATACAGTACAGTACTGTCATCCCTTGGTTATCGCGCCTAATTGGGACCCCGCCGATAACGAAAGTACAGAACCAATGGGATTTTTTCTAATTGGTTCATTTACCCAAGACCCAACCCCAAGTTTCCCATTTTACGACCATTTAGACCAACTAAATATGCATATAATGTTATGGTAAATATCATAAACACACACAGGCATGGCTAGGTTTATTACAAAGTGATGAAAAGGGTACGCTTAATACTGTAGTCCACAAAACATGTAGCTATGCTTTTTTTTATTTGGTCCCCCGTCAAAGGAGTCTGTTTTCTCTCACATCAGGACGCCTGAGTCCTCCGTTTTCTCTCTTAATCTTAGAGTGCACCAGAAACTTTACTATTTTTAGTAATGCCACAGAATTTTAAATTGCAACCCCAATTGCAACTGGGGTTGCAATTGTTGAGGCAACTAGATATGTCTGATTACAGCAAATGTGTTATTGGCAATTTGTAGGTGAAAGATTTTATCCTCAATAGACGTAGGCTAACATTTCACCTGTAGGCAAATGCTTAAAAAAGCCTAAGTAATGAAGCATATTCCTTTAACACATAATATCTGACCAGTATGGGGAGGATCATCATGTCTCAGTCAGGGGGGGTCGTGGAGTGGTGGTCCAGCAGCGTCATTTTTGTTTTTGTTGGGGCGGCCCATATATGCGATCGACGCGGCCATGACTGTATATATATATATATATATATATATATATATATATATATATATATATATATATATATATATATATATATATATATATATATATATATATATATATATATATATATATATATATATATATATAATTTATATATATATATACAGTACATATAGATATACTGTATATATATACACTATATTACTGAGCCATAATTCCAATACTATACTTATGGAACATTATTCTGTTTACCATTTGGCCGCCACTTGTTTTGGTCATCCAAGGCCATCAACAAGTAGGTGGACCAACTACTGTAATAACTCCTACCATGCTCAACTATCCTCTGGGCAATGCGACATAGTTCAGCTGAGCCACGCAGTCACCCAGCTGACTCAGATAAGTGTGACTGCTGCTGTGCAGCTCAGCAGCAGTGAATTCAAATCGTGGGAGGAAGGGCATGGCTGGGTGGCGAGTTGACTGAACAGTTACAGCCCGGAGGCTCCACACACACATACATACCCATGCTCTTCATTCTTTTTATTTTATACTTTTACAGTATACAGTCATACCCCCATAACCAATGCATGTAGGAACCAGGAAATGTCATTGATTAATGAATCAACGGTTAGCGAAGCAATTAATCACATAAGGATATAACAAATTAAGGGGGTTAGGGACCAGCCACCCTTTAAAAACTCCTCTACCTTTGATATATCTTTGTTGTGCACACTGTCAAACAAGAAAATAAAGTAGACATAAAGTAAGCATAATAAGCCTTAAATTTTAATCAATGTAAAGCATAAATTAAGACAGTTATTTACCTAAGTTGAGGATAATAGAGATGGTCTAAGGTGACAAGTTCAAGTCTCTACCAATCTTTGCTGGTCCATCACCACTCTTATTATGCTTTGTTACATCTAATCACATAACATTGAGATGCCACACAAGAGGAACTATCACTGGGGCGTTTAGGCATGATTGCATATCACATTAAGTCAGAAATAATGAAAAATTCAAGTCTCTACTAATTTTTGCTGGTCCCTCACCTATCTTATTATGCCACATCACATCAAGCTGCCCTCTTAACAGGGGCAGCATAAGAGGAACTATCACTGGGGTATTTAGGCATGATTGCATAACACACGAATTTGTAAATAACAAAAAAAAAAAGTCAGACATATGTTAAGTGTAAACAAGAGCAGAGAGGCAGCATGCAGAGCCCTCTCGTGGCAAGAATTTGCACCACGTCATTACCCACCAAATTCAAAAGTGCTCTGTCGTTCCTCTCCCAATCGTCGGGTCATCAGGTTTCAACAAAACTTGCATGGTATTTCCTCTAAATGTAATTATTGGTTATGCAAATCAGCAGTTATTGGGGCGTCAGTTTTCAAGGTATACCTGCATTATATTTTCTTTACTTCTGAGTCACATTACAATACTGTAATGATATTTCCACAACTGAATTAATGCTAAAGAAGAAATACCTGTACTGTCTAAAAGCCACATACAGTAAGTCCTCGTTTAACCCTTACGCCCTGGGTTAGGGTGCTGCTGGCAGTACCCTCCACGTGGGGTTAAATCAAGAAAAAAATCAACATTTCCAAAATTAATTAAAATAAAAAAATGGCAGGAAAATAGGCAGACGTTCTGGAACATCACCCGGGGCGCGCTAGTCGGACGTTTTGGAACGTCACCAGGGGCCAAAGGGTTAACATCGGAGTTACGTTCCTAAAAACACGACGTTATAAAAAACAACGTTAAGCGGATCAATTTTCCCCATAAGAAATAGATAAAGTACAGGAGTTACGTTCCTTAGCCTCCCTTTGCCCCATGAAATACATTATATATACAGAAAATCATTGCCAATTCTATAGAAAATAGTGCATACATTTACAACTACAGTCGACCCTCGTTAAAACGGACTAATAGGGGAGGAAAGGTGTCCGTTTTAGCCGATTGTCCGAATTAACCGATTTCGGGGTTAATATTGCATAATAAAGCATTATACAGCTATGTGTATATTTATTTGAGTGCCCCGTCATAGGAGTCCGTTTTCTCTCACTTCAGGACGCCTGAGTCGTCCGTTTTCTCTTAATCTTAGAGTGCAGTACACCAATGACTTCGTTATTTCTTAGTAATGACACAGAATTTGAAATTGCAACTGGGGTTGCAATTGTTGAGGCAACTTACGTATGTCTGATTACAGTTGGAATATTCAAGATCCATTGTGAGTGATGTTTAAGGCTTCAACTGTCTTTATGGTTGGTAAAACTAGTCAAGTCTGTCAGTCTGAAGGGCATGTGTGAGGCCTTGTGTTTGTACAACCGCTAAATATATGAATATATAATGTTATGGTAATTATCAGAAACACATAGGCATGACTAGGTTTATTACAAAGTGATGAAAAGGATACTGTATAGTGGGTAGTCCACAAAACATGTAGCTATGTCTCTCTTTATTTGAAAGCCCCGTCATAGGAGTCCATTTTCTCTCACTTCAGGACGCCTGAGTCGTCCGTTTTCTCTTAATCTTAGAGTGCAGTACACCAGTGACTTCTTTATTTCTTAGTAATGACACAGAATTTGAAATTGCACCCCCAATTGCAACTGGGACAATCCCAGAACCAGAAATTTGATATGGACAGTTCAGATTTCGTCCAATTTATCCGAAATCCGGATTAAAGAGGTCCGAATTAACGAGGGTCGACTGTACTAAGTTTGTATTGGTGCTCACCGATGGGCAGAGGTGGTAGAGCGAGTGTGAGGTGCGTAGTGAAGCGGAGGAGGATGGCGGGAGGGTTGGAGTATGGCGGGAGCGGAGGAGGAGGGTGGGAGCGGAGAAGGGTGGTGAGTCACTGAGACTCTGCGGCTGCCTCCTCCTCCTCCCCCTCCTGCTGGGGTTCCTCCGCCGCTGTTTATTCCTCCTCCTTTGTTGTTTGCGCCATAAAAAATATTCCATGACGGGACATTAAACGATTTTTTGGTATCTAAAGATTAGCGACGTAGTACCAAAACAATGTTAAGCGGGCCGACGTTATACAAGGACTTACTGTAAAGGGATATCTCTGTTAGCCGGAACAATTGGTGCAGAGCACTTCCGGGAATGAGAGATTTCCGGGTAACGAGACGATTCTCTCAAAGCCGGAAAAATATCCCTCATCCCTGGAATTTTCCGGGTATCGGGAAAAATTTTTTTTTTATTTTACGGAAAATGTGCCCCTCGGGAAATCGTTCCCAAAGCCGGAGCCTTGGGAACGATTTTCCGATAAAATTTCAATTCCAGCTATTGGAGAGTTCTGGGTTGGAGGGACTCCGGCTAACAGAGTTATTACTGTACTGTATTGTAATTATGCTCTTTAAGTTTTCAAAATATTTTTTTTCCAAAAATAATCTTTGTTATATTAGGGTGCGTCTTCACAGCCGAGGCATCTAATGGACTGGGAAATATGGTAATATAGAAAGAGAGCATATCTTGTCCTACTTCTCAAGCTTGACAATAATGGTTTTAGGTCATCAACACCATTTATTCCTGGCTACACCCTCAAACCAAGGTGGTCATCCTGCTTGTTCTGTATTTCTGCATATAGGTGTTTTGTCTAATTACCTAAGCACATTTTAGGTTTTTTGTTAATGCCACAAAGCCCTGTGGTAAAATTTAAATAATTAAATTGTTTTTGTATTGCAGATGGCTAGCCAGGCATAGGCAACATTGACTACCTAATTACAGAAGGTCATAATATATGTTTTTAAGCTTACCTCAAAAAAATAATAATAATACACTCGTGCTAGTTAGGAATTATAATTATTTCAACATAATCAACACAGACTCTGATGGAAGGCAGCCGAGTGGCAGACGCATTGAGTGTTATAACCAAAAATATATTCTCATTCAGTGTCCTGCTCAGATTCTAAAGGAAATAACCACCTGACAGCATTGTTGGCTATCCATCGTCAAGTTACCGATCCTTAATGTTTACCATTGTTGTTTACCTGCACTGTCTCGGCAAACAGAAAACTATACTCTCACGGCCTACATGCACTGTATATCTACAGTGTCAATATTCATGCTGAACTGTATAACTGCATAGTTTATAAACATGTTTATCCAATTGTAAACCTGTATGATAATCTTACTGAATAAATATTACTACAAGGGAGTATTACTATTATTATAAACACTAGCATGCTCCCCGCAGGCTTCCTGGAAGATACTGGCATGCTCCTCACAGGCTCACTGGGAGATACTGGTATGCTCCTCAAAGACTACCTGGGAGATACTGGCATGCTCCTCAAAGGCTCCCTGTGAGATACTGGTATGCTTCTCACAGGCTCCCTGGAAGATACTGGCATGCTCCTCACAGGCTCCCTGTGAGATACTGGCATGCTCCTCACAGGCTCCCTGGGAGATACTGGTATGCTCCTCACAGGCTCCCTGGGAGATACTGGTATGCTCCTCACAGGCTCCCTGGGAGATACTGGTATGCTCCTCACAGGCTCCCTGGGAGATGCTGGTATGCTTCTCACAGTGTTTCTACTTTTCTTGGGACATGTGCTCCATGACCTTAATGTCACCCTACAGTTTAAAATAAATAAATAGGATAACACTGGATATATCAAAACACCCATAGTACAGAGCCATCAAGGTCAACAATTGTTACCATTTCAAAAAATTTCCCTAATTTAATACAGCAATTTTCCTGAATGTTAAACCAAATACTATATCACCATAGTGAAGTCTCTCTTAACAGAGTTAATTGGTGTTCAGCCAGTCAAATTAACAGAGAATTTCAGTTACTAGTCTCCCTAAACTGAGTATTCTCCAATTAATCAAGTCACTTGTCCCTTTACATGAATTCAGAGTAAAATACACAAATTCCTTTGTTCATGTTGGGTTTTTTATTTTAAAAAAATATTAAAAACCTTTTTAGGGCTTCCTTGTGAAATGTTTTACTTCATCACCATCAGCATCCTTTTATGGCCATTTTTCACGCATGTGTGGTTTAGCCATGGTTACCTAATAGCAGATGTCCTTGCTTCACAGTTTCTTGCAGTCTCACTTGTCATGTTCTTAACTCTAATGTCATTTCATACAACCTCTACCCATATCATTCTTGGCCTACCCCTGACTCTCCTTCCCTCCACACTTAGGCTCATGCACCTCTTGACCCAATTGGTTCTCATCCATTCTCTCCATACACATAAACCATCTCAGCCTGCCTCTACAAAGAACTTTGACAATACTCTCAATACCCAGCCACCATCTTAGCTCTGAATAGGGCCCCCCGTCTTTCATTGTCACATTATACATACACCTCACCATTTCCATTTCAGTTCACTCATGTCTACTTATGTCATCCATACAACATCACATGACTCACACCAGCGGCATACATTCTTACTTTAGCTCAGAAGGAAGGTCCCCTTTCCGTCAAAAAAGGTAGCAGTTCCCCAAACTTCCCCCAAATACTTTTGATTCTTGCACTAAGCAGGCTTTAGCCACCCCACTGGCACTGATCATATCACCAAGATAACAGAACTCATCAACACAGTCCAGGAACATATCTCCAGTGTTAAGTTTCTTCAGCCCTGCAGTGGGTACATGGTTGCCTGCAAATACATGCAACATCTTGCAGTCTGCCATCTTACTCCACTGTACCTTTTGTGTACCCACCTTCCACTCATTGTACATTATTGGGTTGCTGTCAATACCTTTCTTGTAAACAGCACATGGCCATTTTCCACTTTCCACCATGGGTCCCTACAGCTAACTTCCACTGATGATGGCTGCTATCTCTACAGCTAACTTCACTGATGAAGGCCACTGTCCCTACAGCTAACTTCCACTGATGATGGCCACTGTCTCTACAATTAGCCTTCACTGATGATGACTGCTATCTCTACAGCTTATTTCCACTGAAGATGGCCACTGTCCCTACAGCTAACAACCACTGATGATGGCCACCATCCCTACAACTAATGATAACTGATGATGGTCACCGTCTAAGGGGTTAAATCCATTTCTACACTTACAGGGGCCTTCAGCATTGTTGTCAGAAGGCTGTGAGTGTAGACCTTCAAAATCATCTGTAGAAGCTGTGGATTCCATTGACTCACTTGAACTAGGACTGTGGAAATAGAAAAAGACTTGATCAATCACTCCGTATTTAAGAGTTTGTGTAAAAAAAAAATACTCTGTATTAATAAAACTCAAATCTATTCACTTTCTAAGCAACTAAATCTTATCACACTTTCAATCTTGCACAAACTCCTCACCCAAAAACAGGTATTATATCACATCCTTGTGTTTTAAAATCATTAACTCCCCTTTCTTTGAGGTTTCTGTACCAATTAGTACTGTAGTCTCGTGATCCAGTGTGAGATCCACCACTACAGTACTTCCTACCACTGCACGAATTCTGGACGGCTTTATCTTCCATAAGACCATATATTCAGGAATATAAGAGGCTGTACAGTACAGTAGAAAGTCGATTTAAAGAGATTCAATTTAAGATTATTGATTTAAAGCGACACCCACAATTAAGGAGAATGTTTTAATTTAAAGCGAATCTTTCCTATTTTGCGCGAGTCAATCTGGCGCCTCATATTATAAATTTTGCACCTGTTTCTCTGGGCACGCTACACTGTCCTAAGGGCAAAGCTGTACTTTACATATACTCAAAATAATGTACTAAATGATTACTAAAATTTTTGTCTAGTGCAAACTATAGCATGTTTATATTCAAATTAATCACTATCTTACAGGGTATAACAATTCCAGCAATGTAAATTATATTCTCCGCAGTCACTTCTGTGACATTTTATAAGCAAAAAACATAAACTCAAGCTAAAGGACATAAATAAACAAATAAATACTTCACTAGACCTTCAGCGCCAACTGTCAAACATGTCACTGTCACCTCCCCTTCCTCCCTCCCTCCCTCCCAGCCAGGGTTTGATGTTTTAGGCTTACAGTTTTTATCTTATATAATGTCACAGACTAAAGTTAAGAGAATATAATTTGTATTGTTGGAATCCTTCCAAGACAGCGAATAATTTGAATATAAACGTCATATATTTTGCACAAGAGATAAAAAATTTTGCTCTTTGTAGTAAAATTCTTAAACTAGAATTAAAATTTGTGTGTCTAATGCAAGCTATAGCATGTTTATATTCAAATTAATCACTATCTCATAAGAATTCCAGCAATGTTAATTATATTCTCCCATATCAGTTCAGTAAACTTAAAGTCACTCTTAAGGACAGATAAATAAATAAGCACTAGACCTTGGCATCAACTGTCAAACATATCACCTCACCTCCCTCCCTCCCTCCCATCTTCCCAGCCAGTAAACAGACCATTTAGCATCCCTTAATTTTAGCTGTGTTGATTTATGAGTGTTTGTTTTAACATAATACTACAAAAAACAATGTTTTGTGTACAGTTGTACCCCACTTAACGCGGTCAATTGAACCCAGAGGGTCCCGCGCTAAGTGAAATCCGCGTTAAGTGAACAACAGAACATATGGGATTAATTCCAATAGAAACCGGCCCGACCCCCAAACTCCACTTTTTGAAGGCACATACCTATGTTGTAGTAAAAATAACATCTTAATTTTATGATGGTACATGCACACAATTAATACTTAAGAGAAATAGAGAAATACAGTCGCCAAGTTAATGTCCATTCAAATAATGGACTCAACTCCCTCCCCCTCTCACACTACACAGCCGGCTAACAGATGGTCGGTCGGTCCCTCCCTCCCCCCCCCACCCCCCACCAACCGTCCCAAGGAGATGTGTGGGATAACCTCAAACTAAAGTTAGGAAAATATAATTGACATTGCTGGATTCCTTGTAAGACCAGGAATATTTTGAATATAAATGTCATATATTTTGCACAAAAGATAACATAGTTACCTAGAGAAAAAATTTTATCTAAAAATTGTAAGTTTAAAGCAAAATATATGATGTTTATATTCAAAATGATCACCAAATTATAAGAATTCCAGCAATGTAAATTATATTCTGACCGGGTAATTTGTATGAATTTTATGAGCTAAAACAAATATCTTCAGTTAATAAAAAAAAAATAATCTTCACGACACTATCTGTCAATCAAAGTACCCCACCTTGCCTCCCCCCCTCTTCCAACCGCGCGGTCAGTCCCAACCCTCCCCCCCACCCCCCACCAATCCTCCCTTCCAGAGTTTTTAACATTTAGTATTAAATAATACCTCAGATTAAAGTTAGGATAATATAATTGACATTGCTGGATTCCTTGTAAGACCAGGAATATTTTGAATATAAATGTCATATATTTTGCACAAAAGATACCATAGTTACCTAGAGAAAAATTTTTATCTAAAAATTGTAAGTTTAAAGCAAAATCTATGATGTTTATATTCAAAATGATCACCAAATTATAAGAATTCCAGCAATGTAAATTATATTCTGACCGGGTAATTTGTATGAATTTTATGAGCTAAAACAAATATCTTCAGTTAATAAAAAAAAATAATAATTCTTCACAGGGTAACAGATGGTCGGTTGGTCCCTCCCTCCCCCCCACCCCCCACCAACCGTCCCAAGGAGATGTGTGGGATAACCACTAAATTTTAATAAATAATACCTCAAACTAAAGTTAGGATAATATAATTGACATTGCTGGATTCCTTGTAAGACCAGGAATATTTTGAATATAAATGTCATATATTTTGCACAAAAGATACCATAGTTACCTAGAGAAAAAATTTTATCTAAAAATTGTAAGTTTAAAGCAAAATATATGATGTTTATATTCAAAATGATCACCAAATTATAAGAATTCCAGCAATGTAAATTATATTCTGGCCTGGTAATTTGTATGAATTTTATGAGCTAAAACAGGCAGTCAGGCAGGGTGGCGGGTGGGGCAAATCTAAAAATAGCGTCTCGGACACTCACCGCGTATATGTGGAAAAAATCCGCGTTAAGTGAAAGTTCAGCTTTGGCAAGGCACCGCGTATATGCGAAAACGCGTTAAGTGAAACCGCGTTAGGCGGGGTAAAACTGTATTCTAGGAAATGGGCTGAGGTGCATCTGGGTAGACTGTCAGTCTTTTTAGTATTTTGTGTTTCTCTCAAGTACCAAACTAAATTATTCCATTGAAACAACACTTCAATTTAGTGCAAATTTGGTTTAATTTGGTTTTAAGCGACCTCTCTTGGAAGTATCTCGCGTTAAATGGACGATCTACTGTACTACATAAATTATTAAGAAAAGAAAAGAAAAAAATATGAGGAATTTGTAATGTACATTTTATTATTGATTTCTAATTTCTCTAAGGGTGTTGTGTTTCCCTTGTCTCTCTAAGAAATACTGAGAAGCAAAGACCGAAAGACTAACAAAGAAAAGAACAAATGTTCTTTTTCTCTTTCTCTATTTTTTTTATGTGAGGGATTCCCTTTGTCATCTCTCAGACATTTTATACTACAGTATTACATCATAATTTGAAAGAATTTTCTAAACAGTCAATTTATGTGCATACGAAGTAGGGGATCAGGGAGGGTGCAAGCACTTTATGGGTTAAGCATGAATGAAAGTCAAACAAAGGGTGGAAACAATTTGCAAAATTTGTAAATCATCTGTAATTCTGCTATGCAAACATAATACTGTTGTCTGCTCACTCTAAGACCCATGAACTCCAACAGTTATAAATCTTGTTCACCATTACATCCTGGGTGACATACTAACACGCCCGACTAGAGCGCCCCGGGTGACGTACAAAGACGCGCGCCTTTTCCCGCCACTATTTAAATGCCCAGCGCGTGTTATCAGGTTCTAGTGTGACTATTTGCCTGTCACGACACACGCTTCGCCACGGAAGCTTCCTGAATGTAATTACCTACTTTTGCTTGTTTCATTTTCATTGTTTATCCATTTTATCATGTTGTATGAAAGTAATACAGTCATCCCTTGTTTATAGAGAACTTGGTTTTCGTTATCACGCCTCCATCAAAATCTGCACACCTGCTGTTATAGCTCATTTTTTATGCCGAGAATTTAGTTATCACGCAGTTGCCTCCAGGTGTATTGTTACCCCCTTGCTTCACCTACATCTATTGAGAATAAAATCTTTCACCTACAAATTGACAATAACACATTTGCTGTAATCGGACATATCTAGTTGCCTCAAAAATTGCAACCCCAGTTGCAATTTCAAATTCTGTGCCATTACTAAGGAATAACGAAGTCTCAGGTGCACTCTAAGATTGAGAGAAAACAGAGGACTCAGGCGTCCTGAAGCGATGAGAAAACGGACTCCTCAGACGGGAGACTCAAATAAAGAAAGCATAGCTACATGTTTTGTGGACTACAGTATTGAGCAAACCCTTTTCATCACTTTGTAATAAACCTAGCCATGCCTATGTGTGTTTCTGATACTTACCATAACATTATCTATATCTTTAGTGGGTCTAAATGGTCGTAAACTGGGAAAATTGGGGTTGGGTCTAGGGTGCCTGGAACCAATTAGAATAAATCCCATAGGTTCTGTACTTTCGTTATTGCATTTTTTGTTATCGCACACTCGGCGGGGTCCCAATTAGGTGTGATAACCAAGGGATGACTGTATTGCTAAAAGTAGTGTACAGTGGTCCCTCGGTTAACGAACACAATTCGTTCCACAGAGTCGTTCGTTAACCGAAAATTTTTTTAACCGAATTCATTGTTTCAATGGGATATTAAAGGACAAGGAACGAATTCGTGAGGTAGTGAAAGGATCAGCACCTATAACGGCAACAATAATAATGAAAAAAAGACAAGGTCCTATTCATGAGATGGAAAAATTACTTGTGGTGTGGATGGAAGGTCAGATGCAAAAGCGTGTACCCTTAAGCCTTCTAACCATACAGGCTAAGGCAAGAAGCCTTTTCGAAAGCCTGAAAGAGCAGGCAGGAGATGAGTGCGACCAAAACTTCACAGCAAGTCATGGGTAGTTCCAAAGGTTTAAGAACCGTTACAGTTTGCACAGTGTAAAGTTGAGTGGAGAGGCAGCAAGTGCTGCCGAAGCTTTTAAGGAGGAGCTAGATTGTGTCATCGTGGAGGGAAATTATTTACCTGAGCAAATATTCAATGTGGATGAAA